TGTGTGTGTGTGTGTGTGTGTGTGTGTGTGTGCGTGTGCGTGTGTGTGTGTTTCTTCCCTCTCAGGATGTGCAGCAGCCCCATCTGACCAGAAAGGAGGAAGAAAGGTGAAAATCAGATCCTTCTTCCTGTCTGGACGCTTCGAGCTGCAGAACCAATAATCACCCAGACGACACAGAGAAACCACAAGTTTACATACACCCAACCACCTTTTCTTTCTCTCTTTCCAACGTTAAACCAAACTTCTCTTGGTTCACGTCAGAATTTACACTGCATGGCTAAAAGTTTAAAATCATGTTTACTTTTATATTTAGGTTCACCCATTTTAAACAGCAGAGTTACCATTCCTTTGGTTTTAGGGAGCAAAATCCCAAAATAAGAAGCATAATAACAATAATAATCAGGCTCCAGCTGGGCATCTTTTCCGGCTGATTTTTCCTCTTAGCGTTCCTTAAAATCGTTCCTCTGTGTGTCTGACCAGCAGGATTCCTCGTCTGCACAAATACGACCTGGAGCAGCGAAACGCAGTGACACGTTTCCTGTTCTTCAGCCCAAAGTAAAGTCCACTGTGTCAGAGGAGTCAAGCAGGTTCATTCCCTAAATTATACCAGACTGAATAAATAAGACTACGGGAGAACAAGGCCAGAAGAAAGTCATGAATAGGAGCTATGAGATGACAGAGAAGAGCATCAGCAGAAATGTTTGGGCCCAGATATGAACCTCTATATCCCACCAGAAGGGAGACATTCCCATCGCCGTCCAAAGCAGAGAACTCACATTGAGCAGAAAAACTCAGAAACGTTTGGCGGCGTGTTTAACCGCCGAGTTCACGTTTAAACTCCTGAATAGTTCAAACACTTTAAGAATCAATGGCAATCAGACTGCAACGCAAAGCTGTCAGCCGCAGTACAATAGTAAAAGCAAATAGTGAATAGAAAATCGAAGCCCGACTCTGAAATGTCAGGTTCAGCGTGAAAAAGCGTGACAGTACAACAATGATTTTACAATCTAAGGAAGACGCTGAATGTAGCAGAAAAGTTTCGCTCTCACACTGAAGAAACTGAGCAATAAAGGCAGAGGGATGAAATTATAACTTGGGCCTGGATAATTACTGAATATCAGTAAACAGGAGTTTGATCTTTGCATTGAACAGCGACTTTGTTTTATGAAGCGAACTGACGGGTCGTTTGTTTCCACCGTTCGGCGCCTCAGGATTTAATTCAGAGGACAAAATGATCAGCATCCAGAAACAGAACCAACAGAAGAGTTTTCTCCTTCCAGACGCTCATCCCTCCAGAACCAACGACCTCCGGACTCCTTATGACAGCTTCCTGTCTGAACTTCAGATTCAACATCAAACAAACAGCTAAGCTATTTGGTTAGCAAGCTAAACAGTTAGCTTGCCTGTTAGCAAAACATTTAGCTTTAAACTAAATTATAAAAACTGAACCATCTTCAAATGAAATACTGGGTCTGACTGATGAGCTTCTGCTGCTGCTCATGTCACATCTCAGCCTCCTCGGCTGAATGAGTCGTGCTAATCGGAGTAAAGACGTTTCCCAGGGAATCTGCAGCAACAGGAACCGGTTCACCTGCAGGACTTCATAGAGACCCAGCTTTTATTTTGATAGTCCTTTTCTGAATCAGCATGTTAGCTGAATATTTAGCTTAGTTCAAAATATTTAGTATCAAACAAACATTTATGTCACCCTACGTGGAAAATTTTACTTTTATTTTCAGCTTCAGACCAACTTTAGGAGGAGCAAAGATGTTAAAGTGAAGATTACATAAAACCTGATCAAACTTGATCACATTTAATACAAAGTAAGCTTCTTCTGTCCATTCAGCCTGAACCTGTTGGCTGGGAACCAGCTAAGCTACAGCTAACGCTAATGCTAACCCTGATGCTAACGCTAGCCTAACGGAGCGTCTGGGATCTCCTGATGTTGCTGTTTCTGCCACATTTTAAAAATCTGCCCACATTTCATCTAACAGCTGGATGGAAATGAATCTAATGTAACTTTTTATTAAATCTTGTGGAGCTTCGCCTCTTCCAGGTTTCCCTGCAGCTCCGCTCTCAGCTGGCCCACATGGAGCTGAAACCGGACCGGGTTCTGACCGGGTTCTGACTTCTACCAGTCATCAGCTGTTACGGATCAGAACCAGCGCTGGGCTGCTGACGGGCTGCATGCTGCCACCCACCACACGCTGCATGAAAACGGCCTTTGCTGTAATTACAGCCATTCGTCAGAAGCACACCTTGATTTATGGCCAAATTAAAAATACAGCAGAAAAGAAGCTGCCGGTCCTGGTACCGCCGGCGCCACAGAGTGATTAATGCGACGCCATTAGAGGCGTGAGAGTGGCGTGATCCGGATCGGCACCGGAACCGGGCCGGGTCAGGAACAAGGAGAAGCGGTTCATGCCTGCCTGACTCCGGACCGGGTCGGTTCCGCCACAGCAGAAGAGCTTTTTGATGCAAATCAGTGAGTCAGAAACGGCTCGTTCTCTTTTACCTTGTTTGTGACAAACAGGATAAATAATATGTTCTTCAGAGATGAACCCAAAAACATGCTGGTTATTAATTACAGCCCTCCGTTTCTACTGCTCCTCTGCAGCAGGAGGAGGACTGCTGCTTGTTTGTCTACAATAAAAGTGTAGAAATAATAAAGCAGAAATGTGTTTCAGCAGAAGGAAGAAAAGATGTTTAGAAAATATCATATGTGAGTGAAATATGGCTGCAGAGGAGGTCAACCTTTAAAGCTGCGAATCAATCAGCAGAGCACCGAGATGGACTGTTCATAAAACATGTCTGTTTATGTGGTTGGCCAGAAACTTCACTGAACTTCACCTCCAAACTCAGAAAGCAGAGCAGCAACGAGGAGGGAGCAAAACTAAACGACTCCGTTCGCCCACTTCCTCCAGAACCAGGAAGTGGATCAGAATCCGGATGCCATTAAAGAATCCTGGCGATAAAATCTCAGGGAACAGAGGAGAGCCGAGCCGTGTGGAGGCAACAGGGATGTTGGAGCTCAATGTGGTCATCAGCTGCAGACGGAGATTCAGCTGGAAGAGAAACCCGTCCAGAACCACCAGCCAGAATCCTGGAGGGAATCATTTTCAGGTCGTGATGAAATGCAGCACTTCCTCCTGACCTGCAGAGCAACGCAGAATCACTACAAAACGGCTGAGTGGCAGCTCAGTCTGCAGATTCACTGAAATTATGTCTGGGCTTTGACTAGGCCATTCTGCCCCATGAATCTGCTCTGATCCCATCATAACTCTGGCTGCGTGTGACGCTCCACCCACTCTCTGCTCTTCTGCAGGTTTTCTTCCAGGATTTAGATCATCCGGCTTCACATCGACTGAGCGGCTGCCACGTCCCACAGCATGACGCTGCCACCACCGTGCTACACACTGGGTTGAGTTCATTCAGGGAAATGTTTCCACCATCTTGGCATTTTGCATGTTGGGGCGGCATTCTGATTGGCTGCTGTTCCTTCCTGGAAGTGGGCATAATGCTGCCATCACCAAGTCCAGTCGGTCAGATGGCTGCTGGCTCTGATCCAGGTTCTGGTTCTGGTTCTACTGGTGGTTTTTCCTCTCTACTGTCACCACATGTGATTCAACTCAAATCACTTTTTCTGCCTCAAGACGACAATTTTATTGAAATGAAACTGAATTAAACGGAGCGACTTTCCCAACTCCAACATTGGAAAACAAGCAGAAATTCCTCACATAAAAAGTTTATAGAAAATCATAAAGATGTGAAAAAACTTTTTCACGTCAAGTTCAAACAAATCAAAGCAAAATACAGAGAGCATGCAAGCATTCAGCTGTGTGTGTGTGTGTGTGTGTGTGTGTGTGCGTGTGTGTGTGTGTGTGTGTGTGTGAGCAGTGGGACCCCCCACAGTGAAGGTGTTTCTGCTGACAGGAGCAGATTCGCGGTAATGGAGGCTCTCTGTCGTCCTGCAGCAAAGCGCCAAAGCAGAACTGAGTTCTGTCTCCAACTACACACATCGCTGAGCCTCCAGATGACAAAACGCCTCAGCAGCTGACCAAATCAACTACAATAAGGCTGGAAAAGAAAAGGGGAAATTCACAGATTTGTCATATGTTGCTGTCTCAGCAGGAACAGAAGTATTTTCAACAGGAAAAGTGTCTGCTGGTTGAGCAAAGAAACGGAGCGCCTCCTGAAAACGCTGCACGCCACTTCAGCCGTAAAGGAGGGAAACGTGAGCAGGCTGAGCGCATTGTGCTCACGTCACTGAAGCAGCCGGTGGAGCCGGGAACAATCAGGAAACAGCAGGATGATGAAATAAAGAGGAGCCGGCGTAATGAAGGGAGAACTGAAACAAGTCGCAGAATAAATGAGGCTGCATTAACAAACTACAAATTATTCCCATTTACATATTTCCACTGCATTTCATCACATCGCACAAATAAAACAACAAGCGAGTGAGTCATCAGATGAATAATTCAATCACTAAATTAGTAAACGCCCTGGGCTCTGCTGGCAGGTTCAGCTGCAGGTTTTCTGCCCCTGATCGTCTCTGCGGAGCCACGGAGTCCAGATGGACCCGCAGCATTACTGTCCGGACCTTAAACGTTCCCATAAAACCACGAGCCGGAAACCGTCAACTGACAGGAATCCCAACAGGCTGAAAATGTGACGAGACGAATATGAATACAAGACGCATCCTGAAGCTTCTGGAGGGAGGAACAAGACAGGAAACATGCTGGAAATATGTCCCATTCAAGGAGAATAATTCATAAGCAAACAGTTTATGTTATGTTGCACAAAGAAGCACTTTATTGTTTTTAAAGCCGGGTTTGATTTCTGCTCTGCTGGATGTGGAAAACAAAATCCAGCCAATCAGAGAGCAGAAACATCCTGACCTCAACCTGCAGAAGAATCTCCTGCTTCCCAGCAGCTACACCAGGTTCTGCTCCCCAAACGCAGGAATTCCCCTCAGACGTTTTCCTGCGTCTCTCACTGACCTTGTAGAAGCGGCTGGCCTTTCTGCAGCGGTCCGCCCAACACCAGCTGGTAGTTTCTGACCTGGAAGCCGGGCACACAGCCGTCCGCTCGGCCGCCTGGCTGAGCGATCTGCAGCACAGAAAACAAAACGGCCGTCAGAGAAATGAACACCAGCTGAATCTGCTGCCTGCTGTCAGTCAATTTAGAAACATTTACATATTTTTTGTACCGACTGTCATAATGTGGAAATGATCACTTTAGTCGATTTAAGGTCTGAATTTTCACTAAGCATATAGTGACCCGCCTGCTTCTCACGTTAAAGACAATTTGTGCTTTAAAACATTATGTATAAAACATTTAAAGCTAAATTTGATTTTAAATTTGAATAAAGCAATTCATGGGTGGTGCAGTTGGTAGAGCTGTTGCTGTCATAAACGGTGGTGGTGGTGAGGATAAGGACGCAGGAGGTAAGTGAAAATGATGACTTTAATGATGGAATCCAGAAGACAGAGCAACAGAGAACAGCACGGAGAAACAGGCAATACATGACCAGGATCCGACAAGAGACGAAGACAACAGGTGGGTTTAAATACACACCAAGGGGATGAGACACACCTGGGAAACAACCAACGGGGAGGACAAGAGACAGACTCACAGGGAACAGGACTACACAGAAAAAAACTCAAACACACAGAAACACGGATCATGACAGTTGCCTTGCAGCAAGAAGGTTCTGGGTTCGATTCCCGGCCCGGTCCGGATGCATGTTCTCCCTGTTTATGGTCGGTTCTCTCCAGGTACGCCAGTTTCCTCTCACAGTCCAAAAACACGGCTGTCAGGTTATTGGTCTCTCTAAATTCTCCCTAGGTGAGTGTGTGTGTCTCTGTGTTGCCTGTGACAGACTGGTGACCTGTCCAGGTGGCCCAGCCTCTAACCACTGATAGAGAATCAAGTTGTCCCTGTAACCAGTGATGGTTTTGAAAAAGGCCAATACGGCTGCGGCTCAGAGGAACGCATGAAGAAGATACATAATTAACCTGAAGCTGCATGTCTGTGGCTCCTGCAGGACGCGGAGCCTGAAGGAGGCTTTAGCAGGAACAGTGAACAAGGTTTCAGCAGATGTTAGAGACGCTGAGCGATTAGTCAGAGAGTTGAAGAAGCACTTCTGTCCTTAAAGGAGAAGTCTCAGCGATCAAGTACGTTCATCAGTAAATGCCTCTCCTGCTGAATGAGAGGCAGCACAGAGACTAAAGAGGAAAATAAGACGAGTTATAATGAGTTAAACGCTGAACTATACGGAGAACATTCTCTAACGCTGCTACAGGAAGAGCTCCAAACATTACATGAAAAAAAACAAGAGAAAGTTAACGAACCAATTGCAAATAGGCCTGGATGAAGGATGTGTGACAGAGTAAAGTATTTATTGGATGATGCATCATTTACATTACAAGACTTTCAAACACCAGATAGTGGAGTCTCTTCAGAGACCCATCAGCGTGACGCAGTAACTCTGGCAGACGTTACATGAAATGTTGGAGGAAAGCAATCGCTGCAGTCAGGGGAGGCGTGTCGTCCCAACACGTGTTGTCATGTTCACCCAGTTCCATCAAACGCTACCAGGCCACACGGAACCCAGCCTGCAGCGTCCTTCAGCTTCCTGCAGCTTCCTGCAGCGTCCAGCAGCTTCCTGCAGCGTCCAGCAGCTTCCTTCAGCTTCCTGCAGAGTCCTGCAGCTTCCTGCAGCGTCCTGCAGCGTCCAGCAGCTTCCTTCAGCTTCCTGCAGCGTCCTGCAGCTTCCTGCAGCGTCCTGCAGCTTCCTGCAGCGTCCAGCAGCTTCCTGCAACGTTCTGCAGCTTCCTGCAGCGTCCTTCAGCTTCCTGCAGCTTCCTGCAGCGTCCAGCAGCTTCCTGCAACGTTCAGCAGCTTCCTTCAGCTTCCTGCAGCGTCCTGCAGCTTCCTGCAGCGTCCTGCAGCTTCCTGCAGCGTCCAGCAGCTTCCATCAGCTTTCTGCAGCTTCCTTCAG